AAAAGATCAATTTCCATTTTTTGCTGACCAAAAATCTGTAATGCATTAAACAATTTTTGGCATGTAATTAGCATCGCCAAGTCAACAACATAATATTTCATGGAAAATAAAGTTTCTTGTTCAGAAAACGAGTGCTCTTATTCTTGCCCTTCTCAGCAGCCTGGTTAGTTTCACATATGGTTGCATGTTTAATTAGTGATCCTTCTGTAAGTGTCTGCAATTAGCACAGTGATGATTAATAAAATAACCCCTTTAAAGCTCCATTTAGCCAACAGAACTGCACAATCAGGTATAATTAATTCATCATTAATAAATCATGGCTGATTAACTAATCTGTTGATTACAAACACATTACTGAACAGCATCCCACCTGAGCTCTGGTGATTTTTCTACACTAAACAGAAATGGAGACTAAGAAGAAATAAACAAAAAAAAATCTGCATTAAACAGCAAGTATAATGGTTTGGTCAGGAAGATGTAGATAGGAGACATATTTAAAAGTTATTGGGCTTTGTTGATTATTTGTCCCTTTGGGGAAGAAAACCATACTGTCTATTTGTTAAATCTGGACAGGTGAACAATAACTGTTTCTTTAATGCAGCTACATTCTTTTTTTTTTTCCGAACAGCATAGTTAGATTATAAGCAACATCCACTCCCCAAGTAGGCCTGCCTAGAGCAGTGAGCATCACAGAAAAATACAACATATGACAATTCCTCCAGTAGAACACCTGACAAGTGGGCAAGTCTATTTCAGAATTGAGCAGGGCCAGGCTGACTGTGAAATACGTTCTTTCAGCATTGTCCCAGGGCTGCTCCTATTACACGGTGTTGGGGTTCCAGTACTGACAATTCCAAATGTTCAAAATCATAAGCCAGGCCCCAAAGAGCAGGGTGACCATGTTTCCCAATGATGAATATGGGACACCTGGTAAAATTACTCAAATTCAAGTGAGTTCAATGGCAATGAATCAGAACTATGCAATACAAGTGTTGAAATTAACATCAAGTTGACTGAGTCACTGTTAAAAAGAAATACTGCATAGTTGGAGTATTTTTATTTACCTTTTTATTAATATGGTTTGCATGGGGAGAGGTGACACAAATTCCATACATCTCTCTCACTTGGGGATGGGGGAGATTGACCAACCTGATCCAAATATCCTTGCCCAGTGCCCTCCAACCTCCATGCCTGGCTGGGTCACAGGAATTGATTGAACTGCCTCTCCTGGTACCACATCTTCTTGAGGCAACATAGGGGCTGTGTCTAGACTGGCAAGTTTTCCGCAAAAGCAGCCGCATTTGCGGAAAAACTTGCCAGCTGTCTACACTGGCCGCTTGATTTTGCGCGAAAGCACTGACGTTCTACTGTCCGAAATCAGTACTTCTTATGCAAATGCTTTGACGTTCCGTTCGGGCAAAAGCCCTTTTCAGAAATGCTTTTGTTCAAAAGGGCCAGTGTAGACAGCTGAAAACTGTTTTGCACAAAAAAGCCCCGATGGCAAAAATGGCGATCGAGGCTTTCTTGCGCAAAACGCGTCTAGATTGGCACAGACACTTTTCCGCAAGAAGTGCTTTTGCGCTTTTCCGCAAATGCTTTTAACGGAAAAACTTTTCCGTTAAAAGCATTTGCGGAAAATCATGCCAGTCTAGACGTAGCCAGGGAGTATGCAGGATCATAGAACCCCTCTCCAAATTTCTGTCAGAGTTCACACCAAAACATGTCAAGCAGCAGTCTTTTGGAATTGTGTGAGAGGGAAGATATGGGATCTGTTTCCAGCGGAATGGGTTGGGGGTAGGAATGACCTACCCTGTGGTTTTCCAGAGGCCATGTCTTCCCTTCCACCCCACCCCCTTATGGCCAGAAGCAGCTTGTCTTTCCTGCCCCCACAGTGTAGAAAGGCAGCGAACATCTCCTCCAAACTGCTGCTAACCACTAATATAACCCAGCTGCCTCCTGTCTCCAGTATGGGCAGGAAGGGGCTGAGCCCTAAGCATATACTGAGCAGCAGGGACCAGGGAACCTGAGGGCAGGGGCTTTAGCCAACCTGGCCAGAGAGATGGCTCAGCAGGGAAGGGTGCCTAGGAGACAGAGCCATCCCTGCACTCCCCAGGAGCAGGACCTAAGGTGGGGGGGTCAACGTGTGAAGATGGTGCTGAGCCCCAGGCTGGCTCACAAACAGGATGGAAACAGTTTCCTCCTCACAAGACTAGAACCTAACTGAGGGGTGGAGAAGCTTCCTCAGGCTAGCACTGTGTGGGGCTTTGGCATATGCAGAGCTTGGCTCCTCTTGGCCAGCACCCTGGGCTGTAGGGTCTTGAGCTTTCCCTGGGTGCCAGCCCAGCCAGAGACAGGGGGGAAGGAAGGAGCCTGCCAGTCAGACTGTTAGTGAGCTGAATGATCTGACCGGTGGCTGGTTCTCTGCACTGCGCTGGGAGTGAGACACACCTCACGGGGTGGAAGGGGAGGGAGAGAAGATTTGGAGGAGCAGTGGGGCTGGAGGATGAACAGGCACAGCAGGGGGAGGATAGGGAGAGGACAAGCATGTAAAGAGCAACCACCTGACTCTCTTGCCAGACTGATATTAGAATGACATGTTTATAGTTACCCAGGTCAAACTGTTTACCCTTCTTAAACATTGGCACAATAGCTTTCTTCCAGTCTTCTGGAACAACCCCAGCATTCCAGGACTTACTGAAATCAACACTCACTGACCGAAGAAGTCTCCGGCCAGATCTTTTACAACTCTTGGGCGCAAGTTATTTGGACTTGCTCGTTTAACAATCCTTAACTATAGTAGCTACTGCAGGCCAGGGCAAAATATAGCCCACAGGCTGGATCTGTCCTGCCAAGCCACTGAATCCAGCCCAAGGAGGCAGCGGGGGCCCCAAGCAGGCTCTCCTGCTTGCCCAGTACATTGCTCAGAAACATGGCTGTTGGCCCCATTTCTGTTCCAAAATTGGGAGGGGGAAAGCTTCAGGAGCTGTTGCTGCCCCCAGCACAATCCCATTGGACAGTTTCTGGCCAGAAACGGGCCAGTGGGAGCAGTCTGTTTCAATAACAGGCAGCCAAGAAGAACCAGGCCCCCTCTCCTCAGCTCAGCTATTCATACAAGCACATGGCTGAGCAGCCTGTGCAGGCACAAGGCAGGCAGGTAGGCAGGCTGAAAAATGTTTAAGCTCTGCAAGACTTAGGTCTGCAGGTAGGTAGGCTGGTTTGGCTGCCGGCTGGTAAGTCTCCTGGTGAGAGCCTGCCTCTAGAACCCCAACGCCTCCTTTCCCCAACCCTCTGCCATCCCAATCAATATACCCAAACCCTCTGACCCCCTGCCGCACCCATGCCCTCTCCCAGATCCTGCACTCCCGTCTCCTGCCCCAGATCACAATCCCCTCCTAACCTAGGTCACACCCCCAAACCACTGCCCTCCAGTCCCCGGCCTTAGGTCACAACTGCCTCCTTCACCCAAAGTCCCTCCCAGACTCCATTCTCCCTCCTGCCCCCCAATCCCTTACCCCAAACTCCCTTCTGCACCCAACATCCATCCCAGAACCTGCACCTTCTCCATTAATATCTTGGAAGAGTGTGTCCCTTGACCACTTTCCAAAATCTTGGAGTGGCTCCCATCAAAAATTATTGCCCATCCCTGAGCGACTGTATTACAGAATTCCCACTCTACTAATATCTTTGGAGGATGTCACATGTTATCATATTTTCCCCAGAAATTCTTAGCTTCTGATTTTCATTTATTGCCATTTACTTCACTTTTCCTCCATTTGTTTTATATACAATGTTTCACAACTGGTTCAGCTCTCCTCCCAACCAGAATGATTTTTTTAACCAATATGGCCTCTTTCTTCAATTGTGCCTTTTTCAGCATCTCGTGAAGTGTTCTTAAACAATTTCCAGTTATCCTTCCCATTCTTCTGATTAAATTCACTTCTGAGACTGGGGCTCCACCAATGTGGCTTCAGATCCAACACATGAGCTCTCCAGTGAGTTCTGTGGCCCTCTGGCACATGCGGAGTATGTATGTGATGGATGAGAGGAGTACTGTCTGTAAAGGGTTAAACTCGGAGAATGCCTGAAAAGAAAACCAGGTAGAGTTGTCAGGGAGCCAGGAGAAGCAATAGAAAAAAAAGTGTTGAGATTTGAATTGTAAGGGAATCTGCCTGCTGCAGTTCTTTTGGGGAGTCCAAACCAGGAGCTGGGGGAAAAAGGTAAATTGAACTAGGCACTAATACCAATGTCTAGAAATGGGCTGGACCTTGAGCTACAGATATGTAAGTGATAGGGAATGTTTTTTAGTTAGAAATTATTAGGTTACAGCTAATTAACTGCACAGAACAGTTAATTAGCTCTAGGACTGGTAGCTGTAAACAAACTTTATGGAATCATGGGAAACTTGGCCACACCCATGATAAGCGGACATTTGGCTAACTAAAATCATGCTGGATCATGGATGTTCCCAGACAAGAGTTTGCCAGGCTAGAGATGTTAAACCTGTACTTTCAAGGATAAAGCAAATAGGATGGGTCTTTTATGCTGATGGCTTATATAATAATTAAATAACCATTTTTCAAAAGTGGATAATTTTGCAAGAGAATAGCTCTTCTTATCAGTACAGGTTGAAACTCCATAATCCAGACTTCCCTTATCCAGCAACACCCCTGGTCTAGCATTGTCCGAGTGAGCGCTCGCAGGGATAAACTGTTGGGCTGAGGCCAGGAGTGTTGCTAAGCGAGGAGGCCAATATGCAGAGCCCCTGGTCTCTGGGAAGGAGGAGGGAGTAATGGAGCGGAGCTTCCTGTCATTGGCAGGAGGGCAACAACATGGCTGCTGGAGGGGAGCACGGAGCCCTCTGGGCCATAGTGAGGGTGCTGGGGAGGGGAACACAGAGCCACCAGGAGGAGCATGGAGCCCCCCAGGTGGCAGCAGAGCTGCTCGGTGAAGCTTGGAGCTCCCCAGGTGGCAGTGGAGTTGCTGGGGGGAGTGCGGAGCAAATCTGGGCAGCAGCAAATCTGCTTGGTACAGTGTGAAGCCCCAGGCAGCAGCAGGATACTGGGAGAAGCATGGAGATGCAGGCAGTAGCTGAGCCCCAGGCAGCAGCACAGCCACTGGAGACAAAGCAGAGCCACCACCAGGAGCACAGAGCCTCGAGCAGCAGCTAACCGATTTCGGGGAGAGCAGAATTCCAGGATGTAACAAAGCCATGGAGGAATAAGTAGAGCTCCCCCCTTCCTTTGCGCTGTGGGGAGAGCAGATCCCTGGGTGGCAGTGAAGCTGCCTGGGGAAAAGCAGAGCCCCCAACATATTGACCTCCCCATGTCCAGCAAATTCCATAGTTCAGGACCACTCAAGTCCTGAGGGTGCTGGACCAGGGTTGTACAACTTGTATTTCTTTTTTTCCCAGCTGTTGTTTCCAGTAGTTGCCTAAAATAATATGGGCAGATCCTAACTAAGAAAAAAAAAGAACCCCAGAATAATAGTGCATTAAAGGCACCAATCATAGTTTAAAATTTACACAAATAGAAAACATTCATGAACTAAGCTCACTGAGTGTAGAGTCAAAACATTTCAGAATCTGGGGAGGAGTTATTAGTTGCAGCTTAACTGTATTACAGTGAAAGCTTTGTTATTCAGCATTGTGTTAACTAGAAAACTTGGTTAACCAGAATTGCCCCCAGTTACAATATTCCCACATCTTCAAATGCACATGTCTGACTCCTGCCTGTCCAGCTGGATGACTTGATGCTTCTGGCCATTGCGGGGCTTCTGACAGCTGGTACTGTCTGATGATGTCATCATCAGGCACCTCCTTCCCCATCAATCTGCCTCGGGCTACGGTAGCCGGATCTGCTGAAGGGCTCCTGGGCCTGCTTATCTGCCTGGTTCTGGGGGCCAGGTATTCTAAAGGGGGTGGGAGTTGGTCGCCGCAATTTCCTCTGTGTAGGGGATGGGGGCAGAGCAATATACTTGTTATCTGGCACATTCAATTAACCAGCAACTCCCATTCCCCATTTGAATGCTGGATAACAAAGCTTTCACTGTACTATTATTCATAACAACATTAAGATTTGTGGCTGTAACTTGCGTCCTTACTCAGGAAAAACTCACTGGCTGTGTCTACACTGGCCACTTATTCCAGAAAATCAGCCGCTTTTCCGGAATAACTTGCCAGCTGTCTACACTGGCCCCTTGAATTTCTAGAAAAGCATTGACGATTTACTGTAAGAAATCAGCTGCTTTTCCGGAAATACTATGCTGCTCCCGTTCAGGCAAAAGTCCTTTTTCCGGAAAACTGTTCCGGAAAAGGTCCAGTGTAGACAGCACAGTAGTGTTTTCCGCAAAAAAGCCCCGATTGCGAAAATGACGATCGGGGCTTTTTTGCAGAAAAACGCGTCTAGATTGGCCATGGATGCTTTTCTGGAAAAAGTGCTTTTCCGGAAAAGCGTCCTGCCAATCTAGATGCGCTTTTCCGAAAATGCTTTTAACGGAAAACTTTTTTTCCGCAAAAAAGCCCCGATTGCGAAAATGACGATCGGGGCTTTTTTGCAGAAAAACGCGTCTAGATTGGCCATGGATGCTTTTCTGGAAAAAGTGCTTTTCCGGAAAAGCATCCTGCCAATGTAGACGCACTTCTTCCGGAAATACTTATAACGAAAAACTGTTTCGTTTTAAGCATTTAAGAATATCCTCACAGCTGCAAAAACTTAACAGATTGCCAACCTCAGGCATGATGGTAGAATCACTAAGGTACGTCTACACTGCAATCAAAGGTGTGACTGCAGCATGTGAACACATACCCAACGTAGCTTTGATCAGGAGTGGCGAGTTGTATGGGCCTATGCCATCTGGGCCCAATGAATAGTCAGGGCCCAACTCCACCAGTGTTCTGAGCTGGATCTCTCCTCCAGCCCTACCTGTGCCCCCTGCACCTTTCCTGGACAATCCCCCAGTTTCTCCATCACACCATCGCTGGCTGTCTGCTGCTTGCTACAATTTAGAGAGCAGCACCAAAAGCAGGCTGAGGGCTGCTGTACCTGTGGAGGGAGGAGGGGAGAAGGGAGGCACACATAACCGGCAGCCCATCCCCCCAGCACCCACTGGGAGGTGATGTTGATGGAGCTTCCTGGAGACAAAACCAGGAGAGTCTGGCCCTCACATGAGCAGTTTCTGAGGCTTCTGTGAGTGTCCGACTAAGTGATACCGCCCGTCCAATCTTAGCCACTGCTCCTGTCCCATGCCGGGCAATGGGTGACCCCTCCCCAACCCTACCTCCCAGTGTAAGGCTACAGTGAAGGGCAGCAGCAGGGTGCCAGGAGAGATGGAGGCACATATATAATGAACCGTTTGGCACAGAACACACATATGGCCTTGAAGTTAACAGCAAGCACCCCTAACCAAGACAGATAATACAGATTGAAACAATACCAGGAAGGAGGCATCAACATACAGATACCATATGACAATGAAAAACAACTTCCAGATAAACAGATGCTACAAGAACTGATGGAGACTGATAAAGAGCTAAAAGAGCAAAATGTATAGACTCGAATGAGAGAAAAGGCTTATAAAGGATGGGGTGTCTTGCATAAAACTTCGTGTTTTGTCTTGTCAGGGTCGGGGCATTTTCTAGACCGAAAAAAGACCCCATTTCTCTCTCTCCCCTGCATTGCTTCACCTGGCCCGTGACTTAATGTGATTAGCAGATTAGTAACTATAAACAATGACAAGATGGTACCTGTGTAGGTGTGAGTAGATGGGTATAATATTCTAAATCAGTGTTGCATTGCAAAGCTGAGGTCAGCAGGGCCTAAATGCCTTTAAAATATGGGTCCATCGTTCCCTCTTCCAGCTTGTGGATTGTCATACAAGAGGGTGCCCACAACATACATATACATTTATCTACTAGCTTTCTTATTTTTTGGAGAGCAATCCACCAGTTTTGCTGCCAAGGCTGAGGCTGCAGAGGAAGCACCTTAATTCAATACTTAAGGTAGGCTAGTACCTTCTAAAAGTAACTGAAGCAACATTTTTTGTAATATATTTGTATTTAATATATTATAATTTAATGTGTTAAATACCATTTTAAATATATCAATTCCTCCCCTTTCACTCCTTCAAAAGAAGAAAACCAATTTCATCGACTTGTTAAACATGCTCTACTTAGTTGCTTAACACGCTGTTTGTTGAGTCCTATCCATCTTTTTCCCATTGCTTTCACAGTAATTGTATTGCTTTAATAATTCCCCATATAGTAGCTATCAAACGAGTAATGGTATCTGAATTGGAAAGAACAACTCTTACAGGCTTTGATAAAGTGGGTCAGATGATACAAAACATTAATGTCTGAATCAGAACAGCAATTGAACAGTCTCCTAATATTCCTGGCAATAAGTTGTAGTCGAACATCAAAAGGAAAAAGTGTTGTTCTTATGGTGCTTTGAGAAAGCATTCTATACTATTAGAAACTTTCACGGTGTTGTCTCAACTTTATTCACTAAGAGTTTCAGGAAGAAAAATAAAGGCTGAATTCTATCCTCTTACTCACATTGCGTAGTATCTTAGGATATGTCTACACTACCACCCTAGTTCGAGCTAGGGTGGTTAATGTAGTCATTCGAAGTTGCAAATGAAGCCCAGGATTTAAATATCCCAGGCTTCATTTGCATCGTGCGAGGCGCCGCCATTTTTAAATCCCCATTAGTGCGGACGTCGTGCCCGCAGCTACACGCGGCATGGAGTAGGTAATTCAAATTAGGCTTTCTAATTCGAACTACTGGAGGTGTACCGGTAGTTCAAATTAGAAAGCCTAATTCAAACTACCTACTCCGTGTCACGTGTAGCCGCGGGCACGGAGTCCGCACTAACGGAGCCCGCATTTAAATCCCGGGCTTCATTTGCAACTTCGATTGACTACATTAACCACCCTAGTTCGAACTAGGGTGGTGGTGTAGACATCCCCTTAGAGACTAAGGGTATGTCTACACTGCAAAGTTAATCCGAAATAACAGCCGTTATCTCAAATTAACTTTAATAGCGTCTATTTCAAACCGCTATTTCAAAATTAATTCGAAATAGCAGAGTGCTTAATTCGAATTTGGTAAACCTCATTCTACGAGAAGTAGCGACAAATTCAATATACCTAATTTGAAATAAGTGCTGTGTAGACACTTAATTCGAATTAGCTGGCCTCCAGCCCTTCCCAGTTTCCCCTGGTGGCCACTCTGGGCCAAACCAGGAAAACTCCTCTCCTCTCCCCCAGCCCTGGAGCCCTTAAAGGGCTAGACTCTGGCCAGACTGTACGTGCCAGATCCAGGCCTGCCAGCAGTCTCTGCCACTGACCCAGTGGCCCCACCAAGAGCCGCGCAGCCAGTGCCAGCCAGCCGTCCCCCGCCCAGTCCCCTAGCACCCAGTCATAGATACCACGCTCCCTCCTGGACTAGTGAGATCATGGACCTCATTGAGGTTTGGGGGCAGGCCCTCAATGTCCATGATCTCCACCCTAGCTGGTGGAACACGGCCGTCTATGGCCGCATAGCTGCCACCATGGCCCAGAAAGGCCACAGGTGCACCCAGGAGCAGGTCACTCGGGCCACTCGGGGCAGCTCCTCAGTAGGAGCAGACCCCTGCCCCTATTTTGATGCCCTGGACTGCATCCCGGGGGCGGGGTGGTCCGTGCCACCCCGGGGGGCAGCAAGCTGAGGAGGAGCCGCCAAGCCAGCAGGACCCCCAAGCAGTCCCAGGAGAGGAGTCAGCAGGGTCATCCGGGGAGGCCACACCATGTAAGTGTCATCACTGTCCCCTTCCCTGGGGAGAGGGGGCGGGAAGGGAGACCAAGGACCGCGTGCATGGCCCTTGCTTATTACGCATCACGCAGCAACCTGTGCATGTGCAAGCACGTGCCATACCACCCCTGGACAGGTGGTTCCAGCTGCCTGCCACAAAGGGGCCATGGCCTGATAGCCACACGCGTGTGTGAAGAGACCTGACATGCTCCTGACCCCGGAGCGGGACACAGCAGGACGCCCTCGCTTCACAAGCCCCCTCTAACATCTCCCCCCCACTTCACCCACACTATACACAGCACAGGAGCATGGGTGAGATCTCGGGGCAGCTCCCACTCCCGGGGATAGCTGGACATTCCGACCAGGGCCTCTGTGCAAGCACAGCAGCTCTGACGGTGCAGGGCATGGTCACAGGGCCGGACCGAGCCATTCCGGCGCCCCAGGTTAAGGGAGGGCACATGCGTGGCCCCGC